AACTCCTGACCTTGAGCGATCCGCCCGCTTCGGCCTCCCAGAGTGCTAGGATTACAGGCGTCAGCCACTGCGCCCGGCCCATCATTTATCTCTTGCCAGCTCCTCTCCGATGTGGAAACTGTGCCATCACCGGCGGTTTACCTAATGATTCGGGGAGGAGAGGGCAACCAGGAGGGAAGGGCAGGAGCCATCGCCCAAGCACAATTGAGACAGGCACACATGTTTCTGCCACACTGGCAGAAATGAGCAGAAATCTGTTTCCTTTGAGCTGCTTTGTGTCAAACGGTGCTGGGCTGGCATTTCCTCCCCACAGGATTTGCCATAGAAATCAGAACTGTTAGAGTGGGAAGGAAAATTTGAGATCGTCTTGCCTAACTCTCCCATTTACAGATGGAGAAACTGAGGAGCAGGCTGGTTAAATGACCCACAGTGGCAGAGCTGGACTACAGGACATGAGGCTCCTAGTCCGGTGTTCTGGAAACGCTTCCAGGAAAGCACTTGCTCCCGTTTCACTCGAGGACTTACGCTCATCGTCGCATTAATCTCCGCCACGGTTTCTTCGTCGGTGGGAAACTGATATATCTGGACCCCATTGCTGACGAGCTCGCTCATGATCTTACTCTTGAATTTGTGCAGTTCGTTCTTGGCAATGGTGTCCGCTTTTGCAATTATTGGGATGATGTTCACCTGTAAAGCAGACATGTCCATTTTCACACAATTCCAACGTAAGAAGAAATAATTACGCAAGTGCATAAAACATAGCAAACAAAAACTGCAAAACCTCACTGTAAAAAACAGATGTTGCGGAAAATCAGACTTTCTACTTAGATGCGAAATTAAGAAGACGTGGGTGATCTCTTAGTCCCATTCTGCCCTGAAGGCGTACTTGTCATTTCCTCCCCTGTGCGGCCTCACTCTGTTCGGAGTGAGAGGAAGTGCTACTATTCTGTGGCCAACAGTGACAACAGAGGAGCCCGTTCTTTGAATAACCAACCGTTCCTTTTAGGCCCCTCCCAGCTGCTTTAGGCTCCTGAGTTTGCAAACCCGACAGCGTCAAGACGAAGTTTTTATTAGTTAGAGCGGTGGGATACCCGGCTCTCTGCAAGGCAATATCCTTTCTTTCTTCTGATGACCTGGAAATTGCTGGGAGGGGAGAACCTAAGTGTTAACCCGAACAAAAATGGTTTCACCTACCTTTAAATTTCTCAAAATCACACAAACTAATTCTTTTCAAAATTGGCTTCTCGATCGAATTACTCCTCGGTGCCAGAATGAGACCCAGGCCCAAAGTGAGGCTCACTGCCGAGTGTCGGCCACAGAGGGCCGGGGGACTCAGAGCCGACGATGCCCTGGCGCGCAGCTCCAAACCCCCGCGCGGGACAGTCTTTTCCCGGCCGCCCCCAGCCCCGACAGGACTCATCTTAAAAATGCATGTTTTAGGATTAACTTTCTTCCACTCCCTAGTAGGAACAGAGGTTTCGATAAGCTGCTACCGACATCGGATATCTAGGACTCAAGAGAACGGGCCCTGAGGACTCGGTGAGAGAGCCGCCCTGGCTGGGAAACAGAGGTTCTTCAGGTCACGCCTGCATTCCTTTCTTCTCCTCTGTCCGAAGGGCCACATCAGAAACCCTGATCAACCAGAATGAGGTGACGATACTGAAAGACAGACCTCCTTTTCTTTTTTTTTTTTGAGACAGAGTCTGGCTTTGTTCCCTGGGCTAGAGTGCCGTGGCGTCAGCCTAGCTCACAGCAACCTCAAACTCCTGGGCTCAAGCGATCCTCCTGCCTCAGCCTCCCAAGTAGTTGGACTACAGGCATGCACCATCATGCCCCGCTAATTTTTTCTATATATATTTTAGTTGTCCAGATCATTTCTTTCTATTTTTTTTGGTAGAGACGGGGTCTTGCTCTTGCTCAGGCTGGTCTCGAACTCCTGAGCTCAAACAATCCACCCGCCTCGGCCTCCCAGAGTGCTAGGATTACAGGTGTGAGCCACCGCGCCCGGCCTATCATTTATCTCTTGCCATCTCCTCTCCGATGTGGAAACTGTGCCATCACTGGCGGTTTACCTAATGATTCGGGGAGGAGAGGGCAAGCAGGAGGGAAGGGCAGGAGCCATCGCCCAAGCACAATTGAGACAGGCACACATGTTTCCGCCACACTGGCAGAAATGAGCAGAAATCTGTATCCTTTGAGCTGCTTTGTGTCAAACGGTGCTGGGCTGGCATTTCCTCCCCACAGGATTTGCCATAGAAATCAGAACTGTTAGAGTGGGAAGGGAAATTTGAGATCGTCTTGTCTAACTCTCCCATTTACAGATGGAGAAACTGAGGAGCAGGCTGGTTAAATGACCCGCAGTGGCAGAGCTGGACTACAGGACATGAGGCTCCTAGTCCGGTGTTCTGGAAACGCTTCCAGGAAAGCACTTGCTCCCATTTCACTCGAGGACTTACGCTCATCGTTGCATTAATCTCCGCCACGGTTTCTTCGTCTGTGGGAAACTGATATATCTGGACCCCATTGCTGACGAGCTCGCTCATGATCTTACTCTTGAATTTGTGCAGTTCGTTCTTGGCAATGGTGTCCGC